TGCATATGAGGCAATTGAAAATACCATGGCTTGGGTCAGGTGCACCTTAGTTCCAAAGTAACATCAATGCTTTTCAATACTTTAAAGATGTCTAATGCAGCTCTAGACATGTCCCCATCCATGTGCAACATATTTCTATATTTTGACTGCTGTTTCCATGAGCATTGATTGTGGGTCTAAGCAAGACAAAATCCTCGACAACTTCAACCATTTCTCCATTAATGATGTTACCTATTCGTCCAGTTATGAGGATTTTGGCCCTCTTTACATTGAGTTATAATCCTACTGAAGGCTGTAATCCTTGATCTTCATCAGCAAGTACTTCAAGTCCTCCTCACTTTCAGCAACCAAGGTTGTGTTATGTGCTTTTTGAAGATTGTTAATAAGTGTTCCTCCTATCCTGATAGGCTAGCATACCAAGCCCAAATTCAATGCCACCAAATATCTCCCAACTCAGAAGGGCCCTATGTAGGATTTCTGAGACCATAAATTTTTACAGGAACAGACAAGACTCATATCTCCCATGGAATTATTGGTGGGTTGGAATCACTGACCTTGTGGCTAGCACTCCAATATTTAACCAACAGAGATACCAGGGCTCCTCCGGACAACAAAGATCTGCCTTATAGAATTTCCAAGACTAAAACCTTTGTGAAAGCATCTTTCTCCTATAAATGACTGGTGGGTTCAAACCACCAACTTTTGGTTATTATCTAAGCATTTCACCACTGCACCACCAGATCTCCTGTTTAGGGGAGTGATTGAAAAATCATGGTTCTTTCCAATTCATCTCCCCCATTCACCATAATTCTCTTTTTTATAATACTTTTATTGGGGGCTCTTAACATCTCTTATCATGATCCATACATTCCTCCAATGTGTCGAGCACATTTACACATATGCCACCTTCATTATTTTCAAAGCATTCTCTTCCCGCTTGAGCCCTTGATATCAACTCCCCATTTCTTCTCCTTCCCTCCCCCGCCCGCCCTCCCATACGAACCCTTGATTAATTATAGATTGTTTTCCCCATATCTTACATCGTCCTCCGTTGACCCTCACCCACTTTTCAATTATATGTCTCCCTGGGAGGGAGTTCTAGATTGATCCTTGTGATTGATTCCCCTTTTTACCTCCCACGCTCCCCTAATCCTCCTGGTATCTCTACTCTCCTTGTTGGTCCTGAGGGGTTTATCTATCCTGGATGCCCAGTGTGTTGCAGGCTCTTATCTGTAGCAGTGTGCCTGCTCTGTTCTAATCCGTTTTGTAAGGTAGAATTGAAGTCATGATAGTTGGGGGAAGTAAGCACCAAAGAGCTAGAGGAAAGTTGTGTTTCTTCAGTGCGATACTGCACCCTGACTGGCTCATCTCTTCCCTGTCACCCCTCTGTGAGGGGATGTCCAATTGTCTACAGATGGTTATTGGGTCTCCACTCCATGCCTTCCCTCATTCACATTGGGCATGGTTTTATTCTGAGTCTTAGATGCCTGATACCTGATCCCATCTATGCCCATGATCACATAGGCTGGTGGGCTTCTTCCATGTGGGCTTTGTTGCTTCTCAGCTAGATGGCCACTTGTTTATCTTCAAGCCTTTAAGACCCCAGATGCTATATCTTTTGATAGCCGGGCACCATCAGCTTTCTTCACCACATTTTCCCATGCACCTGTTTTGTCTTCAGCGATCGTGTCCGGAAGGTGAGCATCACAGAATGCTGGATTGCTAGGACACCCTATAATTCTTAGAAGTGTCTAGCCTATACCTTTTTATGGCATTCTCATTCACTAAATCTGTTTCATACTCCTATTCTTGTTAGAGGCCATCAGGTTGATTTTGACTCATAATGATCCCATGAGACAGAGTAGAACTACTCCTTAAGGCTTTCTAGGCTATAATCTTTATGGGAGTAGATTTTTCTCCTGTGGAGTCACTGAGTGGCTTTGATGCCAACCTTTCAGTTAGTTGAACTCTTAACCATTGCACTACCAGGATTCCTTTTACTCCTTTTAGTGGTCTTTGATTAAATGTCTAATGAGTAACTTCCCTTTTGACCTACAAGTACTATTCCATTTGACAAAATTATATTTGGCATTTAACAATTTTAAGATATACTGATACAGTTCAAAAAGGAGCAAGCATAAACAACATCTTGTTTAGACATATACGTCTATATAAGGGAATGATAAACATGAATTTATTTTAGGATTCGGGAGTTAGGGATAGAGGATAGAGAAAACACACAGATATCTAGGTTATTAGCAATGATCTAGGTTTCTGTATCCTCTCATAATGGAAAACAGAACAGTATAACCTCCATTAATCTTTCACTGAAATTCAACAGTTGTTAACATTTCACTAATCTTGTCTTAATCTCTTATTATACTTTTTACTCAGAAAATTCCAGACATTATGCTATTTCACCCAAAATGCTTAATTATGCATCTCTAAATCATAAGAACATTTTTACTTCAGTACCATCCTATCACAGAACTCTGAGGATGCAGTTGTTAAGGCACCCAGCTGCTAACAGAAAGGTTGAATGTTCAAGTCCACTAGCAGCTCCACAGGAAAAAGATGTGACCGTCTGCTTCCATAAAGATTTCATAAAGCCTTGGAAACCTGTGGGGCACTTATACCCTGTCCTATGAGTCTGAATGGGCTCTAGGGATATGCGTTCGATTTTAGAGTACTAGTTTAAATCACCTATCAGAATAGGTAATATCTGATCCTTCATTTTCATGAAATCACAATAGCATATTTTCAGTTTTTATATTCCTAAACATAATCCAAATAAGATTCCTACATTGTATATCTGTTTCTTAAGTCTCTTTTGTTCTATAAAAATCTCTTCCCCTTTTTATGCCTTTATTTTTCATGAGAAGCCAGGTCCCTTGTCCTACCAAATATAACTCATTCTGGATTTTGAATTAATTCATCCTAGTATGAATTAGCTTGTTCCTCCATCCCTCCTATTTTCTATAAGCTGGTCATTGTAACTCAGGACTTGAAAGATTCTTTTTGTTTGATTTTCAAGGAAAGAATACCTCATAGATGGCGCTGTGGGATTTCTCTTATGTCACACAATGAAGCATATACAATTCAGTTGTCCCACTTTTAATGGTGCTAAAATTAATCGTTGGATTCAGTGTAACAGGTGCTCTTCCATGGAAGTATTTTTCTTAATATGCATAGGGGAGATTCCACTTTAAGTAGCAGATTTTTAAAAAGAAGAAAACAGAAGGAAGTACCAGATTTTAAAACCTAAAATTTTAAAGCAGTAAGGAAGACGGAATGATAGGGATTATGATTAATGGCTTCTCTTCTTTCTCTGTAAAATATATTACTTGTATTAAAATTGTATCCCAATTGGCCAAAATATTTCAGCAAAACATTTTTAAACAAAACTGGTTCAAAGGAAGTGTCTTCTCTGTTCCCCCTTTTTCAGTGATGCAGGTTTGACAACTCACCCTCTGTTTCTTTTTTATTACATTCCTTAGTTTCACATTAGTGCATCTAGATAAGAAACTTGAAGTGTTAACATTAAGAAACACAGAACTAGAAGATCTTGAAGACTGTCTATGGTAAATTTCAAGGAATGATGATTAACTTTTTAAACAGGGTTCAACTCCACCGGTAACTGTTTTCAAAGGTTCCAAGAAACCTTACTTAAAAGAATGCATATTGATTATTAACCATGACACTGGAGAATGTCGACTAGAAAAACTCAGCAGCAACATCACTGTGAAGAAAACAAGGTATGTTATTTAATAAAATGATTGATAAATTTGCTAAGGAAATATCCGCCCCAAAAAAGTGTTATTGCTTTAAATCAGATCGTTGGTTATTTCTGTGTACAAAAATATTTCAATCTTTTCCAAATTTAAATTTGCTGCAATTCCTTAGCAAGAAGCCTTTACCACTTATCGATATATAAAAGTTTGTTATGCTTCTGAATGTTTTCTGTGGATAGGCATACCTTTTATTCTTGAATTGTAATGAAAGGAGCCATTATATGTATTAGGAAATATTTAATGAGCACCTAAAATATATAAAGTTTTAGAAAAAGAAAAGTTTACTACACAAATACTATCCTTAAAAGCAAAAAGAGGTGAAGAAATTAGACAGTGCCCAGCTATCAGATTAAATAGCGGCTGGGGTGTTAAAGGATTGTCTCCAAATAAGCAGCCATTTAAGTGAGTTGTCAACTAAGTCCACATGGAAGAAGCACACCATCATCAGTCACCGAAGGATAATAAATCATATAATCCGAAGTCAAAGGAGGGATTAGTATCAGAGCCGAAATTGTGAGAATCTGGTTTGCAGAAGGCTATCGGTGACAGCGGGAGCCCAAGATTCATTTTTGGGATCTACTTAGGAAATAAGTCTCCCAAGATCTCCAGTATCCACGACTGAGGGATGTGAGGAAAGTGGTTACTAAACAGTGGGTTGGAGAGATTAGTATAGAAGATCAAAGGCATACATTTGACTTGAACAGTTAGAACCTTGTCAGTTGATACATGCTGGACCTGATTTGGTTTACGTCATTTTCTGTATTTTTGTGTTTTGTTTGTTCATATTAGGGCATATCTCAAAGGTGTTATGTCATTGGAGGTCACCCACTTTGTGTCACATGTTTCTCTGTGTTTTTGGTATATGAAACCCAGGATTAATGAATTTATAGGGCCAGCAAGAAGAATAAGGGTTTTGGGGGGATGGAGTGGTACAGTGGTGGTGGTGGGGGGGGGTCAGTAAAAGGGAGATGGATATCAAGGAGGCCAAGAAGAAAAGGAATGTTTGGAAATAGATTGTGGTAGCCATTGTACAATTCTGCTTGACGTGATTGAACTATGGAATAATATGATATATGTATTAACTCCCAATGAATAATAAAGTTACAAATATGTAAGTAAATAAGGACGCTTGCATTTTATTTATTTATTTTTAACTTTTTAAAAAACTTTTTATTATTATTGGCATGAAAGTTTACCAAGCAAATTGGTTTTCCCTTCAACAAGTCATACACGTTTTGTGACATTGGTTGCAATTCTCACAATGTAACAGCACTTTCTCCCTGTGTTTACCATTTCGATTTGTCCTTTCCAAGTCCTTCCCACCTTAACTATTACTAAATAATTGCTGCTTTTTTTATCCTATGTGCTTGACTGCTAAGGAAATGTACCTCTTTAAGGACCATTGGTAGTGTAGTGGTTACAGTTGGACTGTGTTTCTATTGGTCAGCAATTTGAAACCACCAGTAGCTTCCTCAGGATAAAGACTGGGCTTTCTACTCCAGTAAACAGCTACAGTCTTAGAAACCCACAGGGGGTTGCTATGAATCAGCTCTGACTGATGGCTGTGAGTTCAATGCCATTGTGCCCTTTCTAGTTTTATCAGCCCTTTGGCTAAAAGTTGAGTGTGTCTGAAGGTTATGTAGCCTATGGTGTTCCACTAATCTATCAGACTAGTAAGCTTTACATTTTATTAATTCATTTTTTGGGTTGTTTTGAGTTTTGATTTACCTTTTCCTCCCACTCTAGCCATCACTTTCTAATATGTTCCCTTCCAGAGCAGTCAGTAGTGGTTGTTGGAAACTCACGGTTGTGGTATCTGGTTTCATGTGGTCTGTTCCGTCTTTGGATTATTTCCTTGAATCTTTTAGTTTCTTCATTAGTATTGGCTCCAGATCAGGAGAGACCAATAGTTATACCTTAGGTGACCAAAAAGTCCATTTTAATTGTGTTCATAGACCAGACCAGACCATTGAAAAAGCCAGTAACAAAATTTAGTCATCTCAAATCCTTTTTGGAACTAGCTGGGGTAGTTCACTACATATTTAACGAATAACCATGTAATCTAAATGTGGCTCAGTGGGTTCAATGTTGGGCTGCTAACCAAAATATTGGGGAAAAGATGAGACCATCAGCTTCTATAGAGATTTACAGCCTGTGTTAGTCTGGGTTGACTAGAGAAACAAATCCAGAGACACTCATAGGTATATGAGAAAGAGCTTTATATACATGACCAGTTGAATATTGAGAAAACACCCCTGCCCAGTCCAGATCAAGTCCATAAGTCCAATATTAACCCTTATGTCTGTTACCAATCTCTAAAGTCCTTTTCAGAGTTACAAAACACACGCAATGATGCCGAATGCAGGAATATCACAGGCCACTGGGTGCAAAATCTTTTGGATCTAGTGGCGGTAGAAGCATCTCAGCATTGGCAGGGGTCTCCATGTGGCTCCTCCTGTTCTAGGGCACAGGGTTTATCAGCATAGTGCCATGTGTTTTGTCAGTAGAGCGTCTTTCAGGGATTCAACAAAGAGAGAATGTATCTCCAGCCTCTAAGGAGGACATACAGGAATTCCAGAATCCTCAGGATATAGTATTAAGTTAAATGTGGAGGGGAGGGGGGCCAGCCCCCACCACTAGTCGCGGGTTTAGTAAGCACAATTGTACGGTTGAGAGATATATGTATTATATTAAAGTCATCGAGAGCATGAGAGATAAAAGAGATGTTACAATGATGCAGTCAGACACATTACATGGGATCATTTCTTACCTCCGCCCTGCTTGGTGGTCATCATGGTGGAACCTGGCTACAAGAGCAGGAGCAGCCTCAGGGATTGAGAACCGGGGAGCCTCTCCTGGCCCTAGAGCCAGAGAGGGCCCCGGGAATTGGGGAGAGCCTTCAGGGCTCCAGAGAGAGCTCCTTCTTTATTGCTAGCCATGCATTTCTATCACTTTAGGGGGACATGATTACAGAATCACACATCACAGGAAGGGGCAGTACAATAGGCAAACACATTGTAGGAAGGGGACCTATGATAGGCATAAGCGTAATAGGAAGGGATGAGCTAGGGGTTTGTCTATAGGAATGGGACAGTCTAGGGGTATACATGTGACAAGATGGGCGGACCCTAGATTCATGATGGCTGCCTAAGCTTGGTCATCCTTGGGCGGGTTTGACCTCTCTGGTGTCTCCTACAAGGAAACAGACAACTACTATCCTTATCAGAAGGGAGTGGGCCTTACTTGTTGTGGGATAAACAGTGGTGTCTGCTTGATCTAGACAGCTAATAACTCTCAGGGAGAATGACCCCCAATCCACTCCTGATGACCTCCAAGTATACAGTCATTCTCAAGCAGCTAAGTCTGGCATATATTTGGGGGAGACAACTTGAGAGAAGTCCTTCTATTTCCCACATCAGGAGAAGTCCATTCTCAGAGAGGCCTCATTGGTTATGACCCGATTGACAGACTTGACTCTACCCTTTCACCCTTAATCCTCTCAAGTCCCAAATTGACACCAGATTATGTAAGTACTACACAGCCTCAGAAACCCTATGGAGCAGTTCTACTCTGTACTTTAGGGTGTCTGTAGTACATGACAGAAGTGGGTTTATCATTTTGGTTTTGCTCTAAAACCTATACACACTATATAAATAAAAATTGCTCTGCATCTAAAGGGAAGAGAGGGATTGTGTTTGATTGGAGAGAAGCAGGTGATCGGCTCTCAAAAGGCCACAGCCCTGAAAACCCTGTGAAGCAGTTTTTGGCATCCATTGGGTTGCCATTTTCGGGAATTGACATGACAGCAACAGACAAGAAATCTTTCTTGATGACACTGGTTACACATTTTAATTTTTAAATCATAATTTAACATATTTTAGCTTTGTTTTGAAACAATTCAACATAGAAACTGAAAACCATGAAACAGTGTTGGAAACAAATTATGAAGGACACCACAATTTTTAAAGAGGGAATGAAGAGAAAAATAAAGTTCTAAATACTTTGTGAGAGACTTCACAGAAATTACTTGTTGCTCTCAAGACAATTCTAACTCATAATATGCCTATGAGAACTGCTCCATGGCTTTTCCGATCTTTACAGAAGCAGACTGCCACACCATTTCCCTTGCAAGAGCCACTCGTGGATTTAAACCATTAACCTTCAGTTGACAGTCCAGCACATACTGTGGCACCAGAACTGGTATTAGTGACTAGAAATTCTGCTCATTTAAAACCTGTTCATAAACCATGGGAGATCCTGTGTGGTTTAAAATCAGGAAAGATGTGCATTAGGGTTGTGTCCTTTCACCTTGCTAATTCAGACTGCTTTCTGAGCACATAATCCAAGAAGCTGGTGTATATGAAGATGAACATGGCATCAAGGTTGGAGTAAGACTTCTTAACCTATGATATGCAGATAGCACAACCCTATTTGTTGAAAGCGAAGAGGGCTTGAAGCACTTACTGTTACAGATCAAAGATGACAGTCTTCGATATGGATTACACTAACATAAAGAAAACTAAAGCCCTCACAACTGGACCAATAAGCAAGATTCATGATAAAGGGAGAAAATATTGAAGTGATCAAGGATTTCATTGTACTTGGATGCTCAATAAACATCCTTGGAAGCTGCAGTTAAGACATTATATGATATATTCCAGTAGTCAAATATGCTCCGGAAACTCACTGCCATTGAGCCTATGCTGACTCATCGAAACCCTATAGGACAGGATAGAACTGCCCCCCTGGGCTTGCTAGACTACAAATTTCTACAGAAATTACTTGTTGCTCTAGAAAGACTAGAGCCCTGTCTTTCTCCCGAGGAGTGGCTAGTGGTTTCAAACTGCAGACCTTGGGATCACAGCTCAACACGTAACTACTACCTGCCAGGGCTCCAGAGCAAGAGATCTCTAAAATAGTTAAAAAGCAAAGATGTCCCTTTTAAAACCATGATGTGTCTGACTCAAATCATGGTACCTTTAGCTGTGTCATATGCATACAAAATCTGGGCAATGAATAAAGAAGATTGGAGAAGCATCCATAATTTGGGGTTATGGTGGTGGTGACAAATACTAAATACAAGGGGACTTCAAAATTTCATTATCTTTCATTCCATTTTTCTATGAATTTTTTGAAGCCCTTTCATCAATTATGGGTTGCTAGAAGAATAAACAAATATTTATTGGAAGAAGTACAGCCAGCATGCTCCCTGGTAGTAAGGATGGTGAGACTTTGTCTCTCCTACTTTGAACAGGTTGTCAGTAGGGGCCAGTCCCTGGAGAAGAACATCAGACTTGGTTCAGTGGAGAGTCAGAGACAGAGTAAGATCCTCAATGAGCTGGATTGACACAGGGACAGCCACCATGGGCTCCTGGATAGCACCAACTCTGAGGACGGGGCAGGGCTGGGTCGAGTGTTGTTCTGTTGTGCATGTGGTCACTATGAGTCAGAACTGACCTAACAGCACCTAAGAACCACTCTAGTCTTAACGTTCTTGAAAGAAAAGTATATGAAACTCTTTTAGTAGCATGTCTAAGGTTAGGAATGGAAAGTGTGGATGCAATTTAATTTGAACCCCAAGCCCATTGCTGCTGAAGTTTCTAAGGCTGTGATCTGTAAGGAAGGAGACTGCAATGTCTTTCTCCCAGGAAACAACTGGTGGTTTTAAACGGAAGATCTTTTGGTTAGTGGTCGAGTACTTTAATTGCTGCACCATCAGGTCCCCTTAATTTGAATAGCGATCATAATTTTATAATTTAGGAAATACATTGTACTTCTAATACACATTGACATTTCTCTTATTTTTAATTTTTTATGTCCTATCTTTGGAACGGTGATTTGGGTTTGATTCATGTTTGTATCTTTTAGTGATCCCTGTATGTGTGGCATACATATGGTAGGTGGCTCAGTAAATATTTGTCAAATAAGAAATTAGTGTTTTCATTCTTTATTTCTAGGGAAAAGAATAGGTGGTCAATTTTAATCATGTTGTAAGATTAAATTATTGACACATGGATGTAATACTTTTTGACCTGTGATATCCTTAACTGCAGAGTTGAAGGAAGCAGTAAAATTCAGTCTCATATAGAGCAACAGCAGCAACAAATACGGAATTCAACTAGGACTCCACATTTTGTAAAACATTCTCCATCCAAAGACAAGGTGTCCCCAGAATCTCCAATGGATGATATTGAAAGAGGTAAGATCTAAGTGAATGTGATGTCCCTTTAGAAGAAGTTATTAATAAATATTAAGTAAATATTTTCATTTGTAGTCTTGGAAACCCACGGGGGAGCTCTGCTCCACTCTATAGAGTTGCTGAGAGTTGCAATCACCTCCATAGCAGTGAGTGTAATTTGAGGCTATTTGGGATTTGGACCTGAAGTCAGTCCTGATGCCCTATATGCTCCACTGCAGGGTGGACATGTGTAATTCTAAAGTGTATTTCAAGTAAGCATGTGTGGGGAGAATTATTTTAAACAAGACTTCATAGGAAGCAAACAAAAATACATTCTTCTCTGAAATTGTTTACCAACTAATTTTCTCATGGTGCAGTGGAGAATTACAGAAATGGCAGGCTATATTTCTGATGTAGAAGTTACTTTTGATTCACAATGAAGTTTTAGTCCCAGTCCTTAGCATGGCTACCATCTTAGGTCTAGAGTTATAATGTGGGGTGATCTTACTCATCATTATTCATATAAATAATAAAATATAGGAACATAAAGCCAAATGTTGAAGGGAAGAAGAAGCAAATGTGCTAATTATTAAAATATTAAATTTAGCTCTTATCTTCTTAGCCATGAAAACAAAATTGAGGGCACAAGTAATATCTAACAGAAGGATTTTAAAGAATCTACTGAATTCTAAAAAGATTCATAATATGGAATCTGTTCTAGTAGACATTGAATTAGACAGTGTCATAAAAATAATTCTACATTTTAGATAACAATTGCCCTATGTGTTATCTTTTTTAGCAGAAACCTTAATAAAAACGTTGCATTGACCTATAATTCTGGGAAAATAGAGCTACTGAGATAAGCCAACATGCTCCAAGAAAGCTTTCTTGAAAATGTTTTGAGGGGCGAGTGGGAAGGGAGGGGGAGAAGGGAGAAAAAAAAAAGAAAGGAAAAAAAAAGAAAATGTTTTGAAAAGTATGATGGCAACAAATGTACAAATGTGCTTGACACAGTGGATTGATGGATGGATTGTGATAAGAGTTGTACGAGCCCCCAGTAAAATGATTTTAAAAGAAAGAAAGCTCTTTTGATGATCTAACATTGTATAGGATGGAGCTCCACTTAGGGGGAGGAAGAGAGAGTGGAGCACATCCTGACCCACCAGGCCTGGAGGACGACATCCCCACTCTGAACAGCCAATGGACAGAGTGGAAAATATGGCTGATCCCACCATGAGACACGCCGTCCCTTGATGGCCCAGGGCTCTAAGGGGGACAAAACTGGAGACTCAGTGTCGGAACTGGCCCAGACTGACCCTGAGACAGAGGCAAACCACTAAAAGCGTGCGGCAGAGCAACCCTGGGAGCAGAGCAGAGGGAGTACAAAGGACAGACTCTGGGGCTAGAGCATGGTACCCCATCAGACCTGACTGAAGGACACGCCTAGAGATAAAAAATCAGACCTTGATCTATTTATAGGTTTTTCTTTCTGTTTAAAATTTTTTCTTTTAATTAATTTATTCTTCTATGAGTAATTGGTTTCCTTTTTTGTTGCCATCGCTGTGTTCTCACTGACCGCCTATCTTGCAATGGCTTGATTTTTGATGCATATTATTATCTCTACAGATCTATCTAGATAAGATAGACTGGATGAGTAGTCTGGAGGAGAAAACAATGGGACCAGCAGTTCCTGGGGGACACGGGAGAGGGGGACACGGGGGTAAGGAGATGGTGTTGACCAGCCCAGGGACAGGGGAGCAAAAAATGATCCAAAATCAGTGGCAAGGAGGGTGTGAGAGTCCTAGTAGGGATTGAGCAAGGGCAATGTAACCGAGAGAGGTCATTGAAACCCAAATGAAGGCTGAGCATGATAGTGGGACAAGAGGAAAGTAAAGGGAAATAGAGGAAAGAACTAGGTGACAAAGGGTATTTATAGAGGTTTTAAGACTGGCATGTACATATG